ATCAATAATCGCTTCCCTTCAGGTGGTCATTTCAAAGGCACTGAAAACCTTAAAGAGCCAGAGGCAATAAATTAGCTGTAAAAGCAGAAGGAGGCTGAGGAAGAGCTTTGAATCCCCTGAAAAGTAACAAGGCTTTAACCACAGCTCACTAGGCAGTCAAATCAATCTTTACTAAGTAGCTAGTTTTTAGAGCAAATGCGCTAGGTAAGGGCTGACTCCTCAAATGAAGCCCAGCGGTTTAATTTCTCCTGGTAATGACATCATGCCCTATTTTCTCTTTAGCAGACATGGCGCCTGTTACAGTCACTGAAGCATTTAGACACAATACACATGAAAGATACAAAGACTGAAAGTTATTATATTTAAACATTTCTGCCCCCAAATCCTTCGGACTTTTAATAGACTTTTTTAGATAGAAAGAACCTCTACTTGCTCTATCAAAATCCCAAGACTAGTTTTAAAAATAGTTTTCTAAATGCGGGAATCCGGCTTTAAGCACATTTTGGCTTGGAAGTTGTTTCTGTCTGTTCTTCATTGGCCGTTATCCATTCCTCTTCATTCTAGGAAATTGATTATTATCATCATCATCATCAATAGTATCAGTATTCCTCATCTCTTTCTGCATTAAGTTGTCTGCTTATCAAAGGAGAAATAGCAAACGGATTTTTAAATAAAACCAAGGTTTCCATGTCCGCTAGGCTCTCCATTTCTGTGCACTCTCTCCATAAACCAACTTTTTTGGTAGGGGCTATTTTCTGATCTGCATTTCTTCAAATTAACATGCAACCGCAAAGAAATTTTGATTAGTGCTTGGTCTTACAGAAAATATTTATATGGGTTCAAGCTCATAATCTCATTAGTGTTTATCAGTACTACTTCACAGAATTGAAAGGATGGTTTGTGGTTAATAAGATTGTAGTGGCACTTGTAAAGAATCTCAGCAAGGATTTTTTCAAAGGAAACATTTCCTTTAAATCAATATATTGTATAATTAAGAATTTCCGTATGTTGATTTCCATAAAGTAAGATCCACCCATATTGTATATATAGTTTTTTCTCTCAAACACAGGAGAAAAATACAATTCTGTCAATGACTCCTGTAAAAATATAACTGTAAATGGCTCCGAACTGTTATTGCTTGAGAAAAGAACTGACAACTTACCCCAAGATGAGCCTCTGAGAGCTTAATCTGAACTTGTATCTACTATTAAGTCATATGCAGGCATTCTAGACTGCTCTAATCTAACCTTTACGTTATTATTCCAACCAAAGTGGTCCCAGATAATGAGGAGGGAAAAACATAGCTTATTGTCTCTTAAATAAAAGTTAGTTTTCATAGAGCATTTCCTAATGTATTAAGTGCTTCCACCTTATTTCCTTTAATTGCCCTGGCAGCCTCTGTGAAGCAGAAATTCTACCCTAGCCTCCTTATTTCATAGACGACAAAACTGAGGCTCAAAAAGACTTACGGTATTGCCAAGGAAGAATATCAAAATACATTTGTTATACTCAAAGTTAATAGCACATTTCTTTGTAAGTCATCTTAACCAGACTCAACAACACTTATTGAAGGGATTACTATCTGATTGCATTACATCACCCTTCCTGAACATAGGAATTTCTATTTCTCCCTATAGGCCATTTCACCATCAGAAGATTGAACTAAATCTATTAAAATAGTTAGATGGCATGCCATCTGAAACCAGATTCTCCCAGGACTTAAGCTACTCCTATATTCTTATAAGGAAACGTGAACCCCTGAATCTATCTCCCTGCTGTCTTCCCTCAGTGGATTTCTATCAGTTTAAATAATTCACTGCATTGCCCCTATTGGATGAGTTTCTACGATAGTAGCAGGCCATGTGCGAGACCTACAGTGTGGCTGGCTTATATGTCCTATTAGATGACTCATAATTTAACTGCCTGGCTAACCGTGCACAACTTTTGACATCCCTGGGTGAATGTCTGCCACTAGTCTACATCTGACCAGTATACGGGTGTGGCCACTGATCTGTGCACATGCAGGAGCTATGGAGGAGTACATAATTTCATTTTCCCAACTGATTTCTAATTTAACCCAATTTATTTAATTTTCCTCATGTTTTTAAAAATTCTTTAACCTCCCCAAAATGTTAAAAGGGAAGAGAATGAATGGACCAAAGAAGAATGAATTACGTAAGCATTAAAAGACACTCCAAAGGAGGAGAAAAGTGTTTTGTGGGCTGGATTATTTTAGTCTGGATTTCCTAACTTGCCTTAATTTTTTTTAGTCTTGTCTCAGTTTTTGTATTTAATTACAGCACTGTTTTAAACATTTCACGTCTCACTATGTATTCTATACTACACATACCGTAATAAACACTGGCTGTGATCCTAACTAAAGTTTGATTTAAAATAGAAGTACTTAAGGATCTGAGCAAGGGGGAAAAGCCTACTAACAATTAGAAGGAGCATTCTTTTCTCATGCCTTCCTTAGCCTATTGCTCTGGGCAATAAATTGCACGGTGAAATAACCAGTTTATTCTTTGGTATTTTCCTTTACTCTGCTGAGAAAAGCTACATTGTTGGCAAACTGACAGAAAATTTAAAAATGAAATCCAATATACTGAATGTATGTTTGGTGCCTGTGTTTAACATTTAATATTCACGTGATCTGTATTTCTCTTTTTTTTAGCTGGAATCAACAGAAATGTAATGAGTGAGCTTTTTAAACTGGTTGGGATAAGCAGAAATATCGAGGTGATTCTCTCTCTCTCCTTCCCCGAAAAATACAAACCATCACCTAACAACTAACTAAAAATATCTTTTATTCTTTTAAGGGAAAGCAGATTTTTAAAAAACATTAAAAATTCATTTTTTGAACCTGTGTTCAGCTAATATTTCGTATATTTAGATGATAAGAAAATCTTCAATTTTTTTTCTTACAGACTTGATCTTAATGGATCCCCTTTTTTCTCCCTTTACCCATGAATTTTTATTACTGTCTTTTTGGTTTTGTCTTCTATAAAATGTACTATTTTCACTCACAGCTTAAGACAGCTTTGATGTTCTTGGTATGACATATTGTATGTAATGTTAGCTGTTCAAAGCTGCAGATCAGATTGTGCATAATAACATATGTAGCATGGATTATATAAACACTACAGGAAGAAGGGGAGACAGGGCCCTTCTGTGTACAAATTTCAGATTGCTAGCTGTATGCCTGTTCAGAATGTTAAACAGTCCTAACTAAGCAGTGATGAAGTTACTTCTTTAGTGACTGTGACTTCTGAAACTTTTATAAAGTCAAAGATTATTCAACTAAAAATAATTTAAAGATGATGCTGATAATTAACATATTTACCTATAAGATATTTCTAAGTGCTACTTAGGGAGCTTTGAAGCTGGAGGGGAAAAAATGAATTTCATTGTCTTCAAAGCCCAACTTAACTTAAGCAATTTCATTAAAAACTTGGGAGAATATAACTTAGAAGAGCCAAAGACAGGAGAATATGATACAAATTATAAATTTTCACCACTACATATTTCACCCATTATAAAGAAGTCTGAGGCAGGAAACTGTACTAGACTATTTCCCTAAAATTGTTTCTTTTATATCTTAATATTTCAGATTAGACTACCATAGAGTTTTTTCTTTTGTTTGTGTCATTCTTTTATCATTAAGTTTTCTGTCTGGCTTTTGCTTCTATTATTGAAAGATTGGTTATTTTTATGCATTTCACTTTAAGAGAAATTAAATAAAACGTATTACCATATTTTTCAGCAATGAGACATTTCAGAGCGAAGAGATAAGTCAATAGCTTTTCTGGTTTAATAAGCTTATATTTTAAGTATTCATATCCTGCTTTGTTTCAAGAAAACTTCAAGGCTGTTGATATGTTTACTGCTCAACTATCAGCACAGTAATAATAAGGCCTTTGAAACTATGGGACGAAAAATCCTGCAAATTTCAGTCATTTTTTATTTATGTAGAGAGATTGTGTGGCATTTTGCTTCCTGTCCCTTTCCATAGAATTTAAAATATGGACGCTCTCCCGCTGGGTTATCTTTATATTGGGAAGCTCTGCATGAGGTTGAAGTTTTTACAGGGGAATTTACTTAAAACACGGTTGTCTTTAAAGGAGGGTTTGCCACAACAAGGTTAGGGGTTGCCAATAAATCCATTTATAGCAACTTCTGTATTCCTGCTCCAAACCACTGAGGTGACCCGTGCACAATTCCCACAGGCCCCATAAGGTATCAGCAGTCCTAGTTGGTCTTGATGGGCTGCGGGTGAGCCCTCCAGTCTGAATGGGCAGCCTGGGGTTGCTGGGGGGTAGCTGGCGAACCCAGGACTCCCGAATCAGTAGGCCCTGGGTCAGCTTTCGCTCTAGTGGGGAATAACAAATCATTCTGGGGTTTAATTTACTGCCACCAACCGAAATAATAATAGCATCTTTGTTTTTCTGCTTCTCCATACCTCGCTCCTCCGCTGACAGAAGCACGACGTTGGCCCTCCGTGAATGTATACAGACAACACAGGGCCAGACCCTGAGCGCTCAGCGGAGCCGGACGCCCGGCCCGAACATCTTTAATGCGCTTTCAAGAAAGACACACCAGGCGAAATGCCCCTTACACCTTCCATCTCTCTTGGCTCATGCTTGCCCCTGAAATGAGTGTTTTGAGTGTGGGTGTAGTTAAGTGTGGCAGAGAAAATTCAAGAAAGCTACACAAATCACCCTAAAGCATCTATCCAAACTTCGGCTTGGTTAATTGCTCCCATATGTCCTCGGCTGTTTTCAAAAAGCAGTAAGGAGGGGACGCTTTGTCACTACACCGGTTTTAAAGAGGTTGCAAAGACTATCACCCATCTCGACCCAGTCCCGGTGGGCCCAGGCGCAGCCTCCGGGGACTGGCGCCCTTGGGAGAAGCTGGGGACCCGGCCCGCGAAAGCGCTGAGCTCTGGCCCCAAGTTCGCGCGCCGCGCCCCGGCGTGTCCCGGGAGCCGCTGCAGCCCGGGGCGGGGAGCGCGCGGGAGGCGCGGCCCGGGCGCGCGCGCGCGCGAGGAAGGTGCCCTCGGGAACACGCGCAAGGGCGGGGATTCGCGCTGCCAATGAGGCCCCGGTGTGCGCCGCGCGAGGCGGGGGGACGGGCCGGAGGCCAGCCTTGGCTGTGGCAGCTGCGGGAGCGGCGGCAGCCGGGGAGCCGGGGCAGAGGCGGCCGCTGAGCGCCGCGTTGGCCGCGCCCGGAGGCCCGGCCCTGGGGTGGAGGAACTGCGCCCCGGAGCTGGAAACTTTCCCGGCAGGTAATCCCCGCCGCCCGGCGCCGCTGCGGGCATCCGTGCGCCCCGGGCAGGTCCCGCTGCGGGGGCGCAGAGGGGAGGAGTGGGGCCCGGCGCGGAGGATCGGGCGATGGGGAGAGTGGAAAGGCATGTGGGAAAGTTTCTGGAATCTCCCGCCCCCACTTCGCTGGGCACACCCGGGAGCTCTCCGGGGACAGGCACGGACATGTTGGGCGCCCCGGGCCTGGGCCCTGGAGAGTCGGTGCCTTCCCTCCGTCGCCCCCTCCGCGCCGGACCAAGCCGGCCACTGGCGGAGGTGGGGTTCAGGGGCACCGGGAACGTGCGGCGGCACGCTGGAGTTTCGGGACCACCCCATCCGGGCGCGCCCCCTCTTCCCCTTCGCCGTCCCCTCGATAGCCTCGGGCTTGCCAGGGACCTGGGCTGCGCCTGGTACCCGCGGCGGGGCAGGCCGGGGAGAGGCGCGCCTGGCGCCGCGGGGTTCCAGGCGCTCCCGGAGCGCAGGGGAGCGCGGGGTCGCCAAGTTGCCGGGCGAACTTAAGCTGGAGGCGAAGGTGGGTGTCGTATTGCCCCAGTCTGGGTTGAAAGTCTTGCTTCACTTCCAAGAAGACTGCACTAGAATATCCACATTCTTTTTGGGGCAGGGGATGGGGGCGGTGAGCAAGGATTAGACATTGAGGGGGAACTGAGAAAGACGAGTTGTCTAAGAACTGTGAATCCCCGTTCTTGGAGAGCCGTCACTTTTGGGGGACTTACGTCGCGCACGGTCTTCCTGGAGGACTTTGGGGTGCGGCTGAGCAGCGCTGGGGGGTGTTAGGGGCGCCTCGTTGAGGCGCGGCAGCTTTCCGGAACGGCTGGCGAGGAAGGAAGCCCTAGGCATTGTGTGGCGGGTTTGCAGACAAACGTCTCTGGACCGACGTTCTCAAAACTTAGTGTGTAAAGGAGGAAATGCGGCGGTGGCCAGGTAGAAATACAGCGCCGCGGACCGGGGATCGGAGGACTCCGGGCTCCGCGACAGTCTCTGCCGCCCAGCCCAGTCCAGCCCACTCTTGGCAGCTCCAGATCGCCGTGCCTCGAGTGATGGGGCTCGTGTCGGCAGCGCCCTTTCCTGCTGGGTTCAGCTTGGGGAGGTTAGCAGGGCACCTTCATCTTGAACTTGACCCTGGAGCAGCGCCGTCTGGGCGGGTTACAAGGTAAAGGGAAGCCGTATCTTCCCCTGGGATGGGCCTCGAACTCTGGCACGGAAAGGAAATGCCTGGTTTAGAATCTTTGCGGAAAGGGTCTTGGACTGCCGAGGTCGCTAACTCTGGAAATGCCAGACCGCAGAATGCAGAAGTTTATAGTGTGTTTGGAGGGGGAGAAGGAGGGGAGAAGACAGAAGAAACCTGGTTTGTTTGTGTACGGTTGGCTTTTCTCTGTAGTAAAATGAAGGGAGTCTGCATCTCATCTCTTCTTTTACTAGATCGCTACTCTCTTTTTTTCCTCCCTGGGTCATCTTTATTCCTGCCAGGCTGGCATTCATGGGATGGGCAAGGGGCAGGGCAAGGGAAGAAAGCAGTTGTGGCCAGCTTGGAGGTATTTCAGATCAGATCGGCCACTTAGGAAGATGCCTGGAGTTTAACAGCTGCTTCTTGATTGCTGGGAATGAAAGAATTTATGAGCCACTGAGAGATGTTCATTATAGGAATAGTCTGAATGTTTTACTCATCTGAGCTACTTAAAGATCTCCCAGGGAACCTCCCCGATGGTATGCCAGTTTCTACAAAGTTTGTGTCAGCCGGAATGCTTGGTGGGTGTCAGTCAGAACTCATTGTAAATATATCCTGGCAGTATTAAGATGAAAAGTGTGCAGGGGTAAAGGAAATGATGGTATCTGACATCCTTCAGCGCTTCCTCCTAGGCTTGCTTCTGTTACCTGCCAAGTGAATTCCATCCAGGCTTCCGACAGTGGTGATTTGACAATAAAGGATGGGAAATAATGTCACAGATTTTAGTGGAGGCAGGAAAGGCCAAAATTAAATTTAAGGTCACTTTTAATGACCCTGTCTTTCGGCTGTAATGTGACCAACTTAACTTTTGCTGAGACTTGGAAGCAGTGGTTTTCCTGCTTTCTTTGGTTTAACCACCAGAATGTCCAAAGGATCATAATTTATGTCCCATCATGGAACTAAAACATAACGGAATCATAGTCAGCCTTTTTTGCTTCCCATAACAGCCTGTAGAAGGAAGAACATTTTGTTTCTTTAACCACACATTTTTTTTGGTGCCATATTGGGTTTTTGATACTGGGTGATTGAGGGCAGTTTTAAAGACAATGGAATTGTCTCGATTAAATTGTCCATTTTTAGGCAACATCATCCTCTGAGTTTCTGATTAATTCTTTATCTCCCAGGGAACATTAAAACCAGCATCCCCGGGCTGATAGAACTGTAATCCATGTTATAGTGATGCCTGCCAGCATAGTTGGGAGGTTCCTGTCATGTCTATATATTCCCCTAGGCGTTTCTCACTCAATTGTAAAGATTTTGTCTGGGTTGGGTTGAAAGTAGACTGGGAGTCTCATAGTTAGAGAGAAATGGCTTTCTTTTTATGTTTCTGAGGAGAAATTTAGTTTAATTTGTAAGTTACAGGAGTAAAGTTTACAAAAGCAAAATAAAGTAGTGTGTGTGTGGGGGGGGGGGGTGTTGGGGAGGGTTTCTCCTGGAAGGGATTTGTTTTAGTTTCTAGGATAGCTTTGTTTTGAACTATCTTTTAAATGAATATTTTCAGTGGTGGAAAAGCTAGAACCTCCTCCCAGCCCCCCACCAGTTTACAAAAGTGTTTCCTGTACAAGGCTCGCAATGCTTTCTGGGCCTTGGTTTTCTCATCATTGTCCCTAAAATGGGATTACCTTTCAGTCCTGAAGTTCTGTGACTCTCCAAGAGCTTGGAGAAATTCTGGTGGCAGTGTGGTAATGTTAGAACCGGGCTTTGGGGTTTATAAAGGTCTTTACTTCCATATTTTATCCCTCAACCCTCAAGGGAGTAAGTAGGCTGTGGCTGAGCAAGTTAGATGAGTTTGCTGGGTATCGTCTATAAACAGTGGAGCTGGATTTGAACCTCGGTCTTGCGATTCTCCCTGTTACCTCCCCCATACCGCTTTTTAGTCATGGAGTCACTGTAAACTGGCTAAAACTTGACAGACTAATGTTAATATGTGGCAGATTCTCATAGTATTTCATTTATGGGTTATTCTGGTTTCGGAACCCCAGGGTTAACATCTATGCTTTGATGTCAGAGATTAAAAACAGATCAGTAATAATGGTAATAAAACTTTCTCCCCAAGAGTCTCAGAAACTCACATACCTCAAACTAATCTTTTGTTTATGTTCAACTTTTTTTTTTATTAAGTAGGCTTCAGAGTCTAGTGTGATTTATAATCTGGACTAGTAACACAGACAGCATTCTTAAACCACCTCTCAAATCTTTCTATCTCCTTTAAAATAAGAAATGAACATATCATTTGCCTTTCATCTCAGCTGAATGATGAAGCTCTGGGTAAATGTCTCTTTTTTGGTGTCATGGTTCTTGGGCTTTTTCTACTGATTTCTGGGTAAGTCTAAATCAGATTTAACGCAGCACTTTCTCTGCTAAAAAAAAAAAATCCTTCCTTTGTGCTATTGGTTTAACTGTAAAGAAGTAATAGGTTGCTGCAGGTGACCCATTTTCACTGTGATCCTAAATGTTCTGTGTCCTGCTTGCCTATTTAGGAGTACTGAGTGAACTTGATACTCATCGGGAAGCTGGTACGGATTTTCGTAAGGAGGTGCTAAAATAAAACTATATGCTAAGCTTTAAGCTCTTTTAGGTCTGAGCAGCCTGCCCATCCTCAGCTTTTTTGTTTCGCAGAAGACTGTCTTTTCAAAATATTTAGCAATGGGGTTTAAACCTCAAAAACAGATGTACCGATCAGTACCAATAGTCTGACTGTGAAGGCTGCCATTTGCAGGTGAGGACAGAGAGATGATATTATGAACCAGTATTTGCTAAGGAAGTTAGGAGTCTTTGCTCCCTCTCAGTGTTCCAGAAGGGCACATGAGCAGCAAAGCAGGAGAATGGCTTCTGGTATTTTGTTATCAGGAGAATGCATTTTGAACGGCAGTGGGGTAACTCTTTATAAACGAGCCTATCAGGAAACATTACCTTGTGGAGAGTGAAAGGGGCTTTCATTTATTTTGACTGTGTTACTGATGGGGATTGTTCTTCTAGGGTAGGTGATGTCCTTTGGGGCTCCTGCAGGTGTGGGTTGATCAAAGAGAAAAGTTGGGAAAGAAGAGTCCCATGGACAAGAATGTCAAGGACCAGAAGAATGTTGCAGATGGATGGCATGGTCCCTGGATTTTAGCACTGACTTTGCCACTACCTTGGAGGAATTTTTTAGTAAAAATCTTCCAGTCACATCTGTACAGTGAGCCTAGGAAGTTCAGCCTTATAGCCCAGAGCAGCGGTGACTCATCACCTTCCATGCCCCACCCAAGCATACCTAAGGTTACTTACCTGTCATGAATAGTGGCTTCTTACCTCTCTCTGAGTTGGGGTGAGGGTGGGGCCATCTCTAAGAAACACTTGGCTCTATCTGCTCATGCATATATACTCATGCACAAAATGGAATTATATTACGTGTGCTTTTGAAGAGATATGAAAAAGATTGAACATATGGGGGTGCATATAATGTATTTACACAGTTTAGAGTATGGTATATACTTACATAATGTGCTGTTTTCCCCTGTCCCATCAGTACATTCTTTGGCACTGTTTTAATAGCCATTACTATAATTTATTTAGCTAGTCCATTTTGACATTTAGGTGTGTTGGAAAGAAATATCTTTTAGGCTTTCAGAACCCTCTGGCTCAATTGATTTATCCATCGTTAAATCACAGAGCCCAGCACAGTGCCCAGCACCTTGGGGTATACAGCTGCTGGGGGCTTCAAGACCTAACGTTATCAAGAAGCAGACCCTTTGCTCT